AGCACGCAGACAGGGAGTCTCTCCTGGGGGGAGTCTCTGACATGCACTAAGATGAGAGCTCTCCCCATGGCTCCCCTTGCACTTGGGGCAAATGGAGGGCTCTGCTCCCAGGGGCGTCCCTCCGTGATCGCCAGCAGCTGGCGGGGGAGTGAACCATTTCTCACACTGGATACATTTATACAGAGTCTCTGCAGGAGTGAATGGCTGGGGAGCAAGGACGTCCAAGGGCCAGAACCTGTCCTCAACCACACGCAGGCATCCCCCAGAGAGTTCAAAGGAAGCCGCCTGCTCACATCCCAGGGAGCAGCGTTGCCAGGTGGCTGCAGTGAGCCCGCTTTGCCAAGGAAGGGGTGGCTCCACTCCACTTCTGGCAGAGTTTTCCTGATGATCTTCTGAGCTGGACTGAGCCTGACAGACTAATTCCCTGTCCGAGCTCTGGAGGCCACGCTCTAACAGCCTGGGCCCTTCCAATTCCCTGAGAGTCTCCTGCGGATGAGTCTCCTTCTTCCCCCTGATCTCAGCAACTGCTGCAATGGAGAGAGAATCCAGATGTTCTTTATTGCATGGGCTGGAGAGAATGGAAAGCTCCTGTGAATACGTTCAGCCTATAGTGCAGTTAACATAATTATACAGCAGCAGTCAATGACATCATGGGTTTATTTTAGGGCTGTCAATTAATCACAGTTAACTCACGCGATTAACTCAAAAAATTAATTGTGATTAATCGCAGTTTTAATTGCACTGTTCAACAAGAGAATACCAAGTAAACGTATTCAATATTTTGGATGTTTTTCTACATTTTCAAATATACTGATTTCAATTACAACACAGAATACAAAGTGTACAGTGCTCACTTTATATTATTACTTCTGATTACAAATATTTGCACTGTAAAAATGATAAACAAAAGAAATTGGATTTTTCAGTTCACCTCATACAAGTACTATAGTGAAATCTCTTTATCGTGAAAGTGCAACTTACTAATGTAGATTTTTTTTGTAACATAACTGCACTCAAAAACAAAACAATATAAAATTTTAGAGCCTACAAGTCCATTCAGTCCTACTTCTTGTTCAGCCAATCGCTAAGACAAACAAGTTTTTTTACATTTATGGGAGATAATGCTGCCCGCTTCTTATTTACAATGTCACCAGGAAGTGAGAACAAGCGTTCGCATGGGACTTTTCTAGCCGTCATTGCAAGGTATCTATGTGCCAGATATGCTAAACATTCGTATGCCCCTTCATGCTTCGGCCACCATTCCGGAGGACATGCTTCCATGTTGATGACGCTCATTAAAAAAATAATGTGTTAATTACATATGTGGCTGAACTCCTTGGGGGAGAACTGTATGTCTCCTGCTCTGTTTTACCCGCATTCTGCCATATATTTCATGCCACAGCAGTCTCAGATGATGACTCAGCACATGTTGTTTATTTTAAGAACACTTTCATTGCAGATTTGACAAAACGCAAAGAAGGTACCAATGTGAGATTTCTAAAAATAGCTACAACTCTAAAATGAAGATTTAAGAATCTGAAGTGCCTTCCAAAATCTGAGAGAGACGAGGTATGGAGCACGCTTTCAGAAGTCTTAAAAGAGCAACACTCTTATGCGGAAACTACAGAACCCGAACCACCAAAAAAGAAAATCAATCTTCTGCTGGTGGCATCTGACTCAGATGATGAAAATGAACATGGGTCAGTCTGCACTGCTTTGGATTGTTATCGAGCAGAAACCATCATCAGTATGGAAGCATGTCCTCTGGAATGGTGGTTGAAGCATGAAGTGACATATGAATCTTTAACGCATCTGGCATGTAAATATCTTGCGGCGCTGGCTACAAAAGTGCCATGCGAACATCTGTTCTCACTTTCAGGTGACATTGTGAACAAGAAGTGGAAGCATTATCTCCTGCAAATGTAAATGAACTTGTTTGTCTGAGCAGCTGGCTGAACAAGAAGTAGGACTGAGTGGACTTGTAGGCTCTAAAGTTTTATATTGTTTTATTGTTGAATGCAGGTTGTTGTTTTTTTACATAATTCTACATTTGTAAGTTTAACTTTCATGATAAAGAGATTGCACTACAGTACTTGTATTAGGTGAATTGAAAAATACTATTTCTTGGTTTTTACAGTGCAAATATTTGTAATAAAAAATTAATATAAAGTGAGCACTGTACACTTTGTATTCTGTGTTATAATTGAAATCAATATATTTGAAAATGTAAAAAACATCCAAAATATTTAAATAAATGGTATTCTATTGTTGTTTAATAGCGTGATTAATCGCAATTAATTTTTTTAATTGCGCAATTTATCGTGATTAATTTTTTTAATCGCTTGACAGCCCTAGTTTATTTCAATGACATTAACATTTTGTTTCTATAGCATTCCCATGAGATTGGACTTTCAGCCATGCACCAGCTGGAAAACTCCTGCCCAATTTTATGTAGAAATTATGAGCGAAATCCTGGTTCCGTTAAAGTCAATGAGAATTTTGCCATTGACTTCAGTGGGGTCAGGCTCTCACCCCAGAACTACATCCTACTTGGCAATCTGCATGCAGAGGGCCCAAATCAGATCTACTGGACGTGGGTCAACTTCATTAACATGAATGCAGCTCCAGCTGCTTACACAAGGTCTGCCTTTGGCCTTCTTGGGTCAATACGTCTCACAAATGTTTCTGAAATCGCTCACTAAGCTTTAAGGGTGAAGTCCTGGCCCTTTGGAAGTCAAGAGGAGTTTTGCTATTGACTGCAGTGAGGCCAGAATTTCATCCTAGAGATCATTTCTGACCTGTTAATTGGATTCCTCTGATATTATGTCATAGCTAATCAGAAAGTCAATACAGTGTAACAAAGTGGAGAGAGACAGACAGAGGTTTGTTAAAGGGTTTCCATTTGCTTGCAGCGAATAAATAGCAGTCAGACAGGGCATTGATTGACAGCCTCTGTCCTCTGCTAGGAAGGGGAGGAGCTCTCAAACTGTACCAATTTGGCGATTCGGTCAATTCTAGATCAGCTTGGGAAAGAAGGAGTGGCTGTTCTCTGTGGCATTCTTTTGCTCCCAGCAAGAGAATGCCCTCTCCACTCCACTTCAAATTCCACTTTAGCAGCCTCTGCTTTGCTCCCCAGAGCCGTTCACCCACGAGCAAGGGAAAATGAAGACCCCCGTTGCTATTTCCAATGGGAGTGGAAATATAGCGGTGGGGATGCATGGCTGACACCTGCCAAAATGATGCGCCAGTAACAACAGTTACTGCATTTGTTCCTGGGAGCAAAGAGGTAATTGCCAGCACGCAGGAAGGGGTGGCTGGGTTCCACACACTCATTGTTTCCGAACGGGTTGGAAATCGTTACTCACAGAAGAAGTTAAAAGCTTTTCCATTCCCAGAGTCCTTGTGACCCTTGACACACGGCTCTTCCCCACGTTCAATCAGCCAGATAATGTCAGGTTTAGTGGCAGCATGACCTGGTGATGGGAGAAGAGAATTATCCATCGATCCTAGGTACTTAGCTGGCCCCTCACAATCGCTAATGTGTTTATCCTCACAAGCCCCTGTGCAGCCGGGCAAGGCAGTTATCCCCATTTTATAGATGGGGAACTGAGGCCCAGAGAACCCTGTGACTTGCCCAAGGTCCCCCAGACAGTCTGTGGTGGAGCAGGGAACTGAACTCAAGACTCTCAAGTTCTAGACGAGCGCTCTGACCACTGGACCATCCATCCCACCTAATGTGTAGCTCAGCAATTACTCACTGTCCTGTCAGCGTTTTAAAATGACACTCCTGATTTAACCCCAGCCCAGTGTATGAACTACCTGGGAAGAGAGTGAAGATTCAGAGGCAAAAAAGCCTTATGGATTGAGATGAGCTGAACAACTCATGCGAGACTCAGGTACCTGCACTTCCTGTAGAGGCATGAATGATACACAGTGCCCCCCCTGGCCTCAGCCACTAGTCCACTTACATCCGAACTTCTCCCTAGACACAGGAAACGTCTCCATTCTGCTCCCACAGTGGTACCACACAGCATGCAGGGAGCGCTCTCTATGGAGCCCTGCCTCGGGCAGAGCTTGTACAGCATGTGCAGTGGTTATAGGCACCAGCGAGGACCAGGATGTGTTGCAGGGGGAGTTTAATAAATGGAAGGACCTCCCGGTCAGGGAGTTCTCTGGGTGGTGCTTAAGGCAGTTCTCTTTGTTTCATGAAATCACACTACAGAGCATGACTTGAAGCTCTCTTATTTGGGGGCTGCAGCTTCTAATGAATGAGTGACCACTAATCGTTACCCAGGGAGATCAAAGCCTTGTAGTTGTCCCTCATCACGTCCTTGTACAGCTCCTTCTGCCATTCTGCTAGCTCCTCCCACTCCTCCGCGGAGAAATACACAGCGACGTCGTCAAATGTGACTGGAGCCTGAAATAGCAAATAAACCGTGATCAGCAGCCTCTACTTCAATCACACCCTGAGAGCAGCAGCCCTGGGTCCCGGCAGGGCAGGGAGAGCATTTCCTGCGTGTGTAACACACGCTGACAACACACGTTGCTGCTGGTGCCTCCAGGATGTGAATCCCCCGGGACAGCTCACACCTGTCACCGCAGGGCTCTGATGCAGGGACGGGGAGCAGCAGCCTGGCCTTTGTCTCAGTGGCGATTTCCTGCTGAAGCAGCAACCAGTGCCTCCCCGCCTAGCTGCAGGAGCCATGTGTTTGGACTAGAGACGTCAGCTGTTTATTAGGCCCCACTGACTAGCAAATCCAACCTGTAACTCACACCAGCGTTTACGTCACTCCCGATCTTGTCCCAGAGACTCCCCTGGCAAATGCAAGTTGCATACGGCTGGGTCTGGCCCATCGTTTGTCAGGGCCAAGATGGAACATTTCACTGTGACTCATGGGATGAGGTTCTGGCTAGGAAACACCCATCAACAGCTCCTCACAGCCACCAGGCAGGGAGCTGTTTACATGAAAGATGCTGTGATTCATTAATGCAGGTGTAGGACATCCATGATACATGCAGGCTGCATTATAATTCAGTCTTCAGCGCATTTTCATAGATAAATAGACTTTAAGGTCAGAAGGGACCAATATGATCATCTAGTCTGACCTCCTGCACAACGCAGGCTGCAGAATCTCACACACCCACTGCTGTATCAAACCCCTAACCTATGGCTGAGCCATTGAAGTCCTCAAATCATGGTTTAAAGACTTCAAGGTGTAGAGAATCTTCCAGCAAGTGACCCGTGCCCCACGCTGCAGAGGAAGGCAAAAAAACTCCAGGGCCTCTGCCAATCTGCCCTGGAGGAAAATTCCTTCCCGACCCCAAATATGGTGATCAGCTAAACTCTGGGCATGTGGGCAAGACTCACCAGCCAGACACCCAGGAAAGAATTCTCTGTAATAACTCAGATCCAACCTCATCTAATATCCCATCACAGGCCATTGGGCATATTTGCCGCTAATAGTCAAAGATCAATTAATTGTCAATATTAGGCTATCCCATCAGACCATCCCCTCCATAAACTTATCAAGCTTAGTCTTGAAGCCACATATGTCTTTTGCCCCCACTGCTCCCCTTGGAAGGCTGTTCCAGAACTTCACTCCTCTGATGGTTAGAAACCTTCATCTAATTTTAAGCCTAAACTCCCTGATGGCCAGTTTATATCCATTTGTTCTTGTGTCCACATTGGTACTGAGCTTAAATAATTCCTCTCCCTCCCTGGTATTTATCCCTCTGATATATTTGTAGAGAGCAATCATATCTCCCCTCAGCCTTCTTTTGGTTAGGCTAAACAAGCTGAGGTCTTTGAGTCTCCTTTCAAAAGGCAGGTTATCCATTCCTCGGATCATCCTAGTAGCCCTTCTCTGTAACTGTTCCAGTTTGAATTCATCCTTCTTAAACATGGGAGACAAGAACTGCACACAATATTCCAGATGAGGTCTCACCAGTGCCTTGTATAACGGTACTAACACCTCCTTATCTTTACTGGAAATACCTCGCCTGATGCATCCCAAGACTGCATTAGTTTTTTTAACGGCCATATCACATTGGCGGCTCATAGTCATCCTGTGATCAACCAATACTCCGAGGTCCTTCTCCTCCTCTGTTACTTCCAACTGATGTGTCCCCAATTTATAACCAAAATTCTTGTTATTAATCCCTAAATCACTTTTTTTTCTTTCTTAAAAATAGGAATTATGTTAGCAATTCTCCAGTCATACGGTACAACTCCTGAGTTTATAGATTCATTAAAAAAATCTTGCTAATGGGCTTGCAATTTCATGTGCCAGTTCCTTTAATATTCTTGGATGAAGATTATCTGGGCCCCCCGATTTAGTCCCATTAAGCTGTTCGAGTTTGGCTTCTACCTCAGATATGGTAATATCTACCTCCATATCCTCACTGCCTTTTGTCATCCTGCCATTATCCCTAAGCTCCTCATTAAAGACTGAGGCAAAGTATTTGTTTAGATATTGGGCCATGCCTAGATTATCCTTAACCTCCACTCCATCCTCATTGTTTAGCGGTCCGTCTTCTTTCTTTGTTTTTTGCTTATTTATATGGCTATAGAACCTTTTACTATTGGTTTTAATTTCCTTTGCAAGGTCCAACTCTACATGGCTTTTGGCCTTTCTCACTTTATCCCTACATGTTCTGACCTCAATAAGGTAGCTTTCCTTGCTGATCCCTCCCATCTTCCACTCCTTGTAGGCTTTCTGCTTTTTCTTAATCACCTCTCTGAGATGCTTGCTCATCCAGCTTGGTCTACAACTCCTGCCTATGAATTTTTTCGTCTTTCTTGGGATGCAGGCTTCTGATAGTTTCTGCAACTTTGACTTGAAGTAATTCCAGGCCTCCTCCGCCTTTAGATCCACAAGTTCTTCAGTCCAATCCACTTCCCTAACTAATTTCCTTAATTTTTTAAAGTTAGCCCTTTTGAAATCAAAAACCCTAGTCACTGATCTATTTTTGTTTATCTTTCCATTTTGTTTGAAGTGAACTTAGCTCATGATCACTCGAACCAAGGTTGTCCCCTACAACCATTTCTTCTATGAGGTCCTCACTACTCACCAAAACTAAATCTAAAATGGCATCCCCTCTTGTTGGTTCAGCAACTACTTGGTGAAGGAATCCATCAGCTATCGCATCCAGGAAAATCTGAGCCCTATTATTATTACTAGCACTTGTCCTCCAGTCTATATCTGGGAAGTTAAAGTCTCCCATGATCACACAATTCCCATTAGTGTTTACTTCATTAAAAACATTAAAGAGATCTCTATCCATATCCAAATCGGATCCCGGCGGTCTGTAGCATACCCCAACCACTATCCCAGGGGAGGCTCTAGTAGCTTTTTTCCCAATGTGATTTTTGCCCAGACAGACTCTGTCTTATCCATTCCATCCCTTTTTATTTCTTTACAGTCTACCTCATCATTGCTATACAATGCTACTCCACCACCTTTGCCTTTATTTCTGTCTTTCCTAAACAGCACCTACCCTTCAATACCTGTACTCCAGTCATGACTACTATTCCACCATGTTTCTGTTATCCCTATAATATCTGGTTTTACTTCCTGCATCAGTAGCTCTAGTTCCTCCATTTTGTTACTTAGGCTCCTCGCATCGCTGTACAAACATCTTAATTTTTGCTGTTTGGCTTCGCTCACATTCTTTACCCGATTAGGCCCAGACATTCTACTGCCAGTATCACCTATTAGACTGGTAGCTACACTACCCTTCCTCCTTATGTCCTTTCTCCCACCCACGGCTGTATCCTTTCTTACTTTGTTTTCTTCCCTCTCAATGTTAAAATCCTGCGTGGAGATTACCTAAACATCTTCCACCAAATTCCTAGTCTAAAGCTCTCTTAATCGGTTGTGCCAGCCGCCATCCTAGAAGTCTATTTTCCTCCCTACTCAGGTGCAAACTACCCTCTAGTATTTTGAGGGGGAGAGAGGAAGGGGGGAGCATTTTAGCCAGCACCGAATAATGCCCTGAATGAGCTGGGGTGGGATGGGGAAGACTGGTGTGGGGATCAGAGGGCACTTACAGAAGGAACATTGGCATAGCTGAACTTTGTGACTTTGTCCTCACCCACAACTATTTCACATTTGGGGACAATATATACCTTCAAGTCAGCGGCACTGCTATGGGTACCCGCATGGCCCCACAGTATGCCAACATTTTTATGGCTGACTTAGAACAACGCTTCCTCAGCTCTCGTCCCCTAAAGCCCCTACTCGCGCTACATTGATGACATCTTCATCATCTGGACCCATGGAAAAGAAGCCCTTGAGGAATTCCACCATGATTTCAATAATTTCCATCCCACCATCAACCTCAGCCTAGATCAATCCACAAAAGCGGTCCATTTCCTGGACACTACTGTGCTAATAAGCGATGGTCACATAAATACCACCCTATACCGGAAACCTACTGACCGCTACACTTACCTACATGCCTCCAGCTTCCATCCAGGACACACCACACGATCCATTGTCTACAGCCAAGCTGTAAGATATAACCGCATTTGCTCCAATCCCTCAGATAGAGACAAGCACCTACAAGGTCTCCATCAAGCATTCTTAAAACTACAATACCCACCTGCTGAAGTGAAAAAACAGATTGACAGAGCCAGACGAGTACCCAGAAGTCACCTCCTACAAGACAGGCCCAACAAAGAAAATAACAGAACACCACTAGCTGTCACCTTCAGCCCCCAACTAAAACCTCTCCAGCGCATCATCAGAGATCTACAACCTATCCTGAAAGATGATCCTTTACTCTCACAGATCTTGGGAGACAGACCTGTCCTCGCTTACAGACAACCCCTCAACCTAAAGCAAATACTCACCAGCAACCACACATCACTGAACAAAAACACTGACCCAGGAACCTATCCTTGTAACAAAGCCCGATGCCAACTCTGCCCACATATCTATTCAAGTGACATCATCATAGGGCCTAATCACATCAGCCATACCATCAGGGGCTCGTTCACCTGCACATCTACCAACGTGATATATGCCATCATGTGCCAGCAATGCCCCTCTGCCATGTACATTGGCCAAACCGGACAGTCTCTACGCAAAAGAATTAATGGATACAAATCTGACATCAGGAATCATAATACTCAAAAACCAGTGGGAGAACACTTTAACCTGTCTGGCCATTCAATGACAGACCTGCGGGTGGCTATCTTACAACAGAAAAACTTCAAAAACAGACTCCAACAAGAGACTGCTGAGCTGGAATTGATATGCAAACTAGACACAATCAACTCAGGATTGAATAAGGACTGGGAATGGCTGAGCCATTACAAACATTGAATCTATCTCGCCTTGTAAGTATTCTCACACTTCTTATCAAACGGTCTGTACTGAGCTATCTTGATTAGCACTTCAAAAGTTTTTTTTCTCTTACTTAATTGGCCTCTCAGAGTTGGTAAGACAACTCCCACCTGTTCATGCTCTCTGTATGTGTGTGTATATATCTCCTCAATATATGTTTCACTCTATATGCATCTGAAGAAGTGGGCTGTAGCCCATGAAAGCTTATGCTCTAATAAATTTGTTAGTCTCTAAGGTGCCACAAGTACTCCTGTTCTTTTTGCGGATACAGACTAACATGGCTGCTACTCTGAAACCTGGGGAACATAAGGAGATGACACATAATAATAACTAATAACACCTCGCTCCTGTACAGCACTTTTCAAAAGGAGACCTTCAAGTGCTTCACAACCGTTAGTGCAGGGGTTCTCAAACTGGGGGTCAGGACCCACATGAGGGGGTCGGGAGCTGTCAGCCCCCACCCAGACCCCGCTTTGCATCCAGCATTTATAACAGTGTTAAATATATTTAAAAGTGTTTTTAATGTATAAGGGGGGGTTGGACTCAATGGCTTGCTGTGTGAAAGGGGTCACTGCGTTAGTGTATTATCCTGACAAGCCAGCCCCGCCCCCTGAGCCCGCTGGTGGGGCGGGGCGGCGATGATCCCATTGTACAGATAGCAACTGAGGCCCGGAGAGGTGCTGACTCGGCCCAACGTCCCCCGGAAAGTCTGTGGCAGGGGGCAATTACCCCCGGACTAGCGCCGGCAACCCCCAGAGCGCGCAGCCCCGGCCCCGCTGCAGGCCCGATGGCAAAGCCCTACCTGAGCGGAGCGCGCCCCAGCCATGCCCCGGCCGGCCGGCGGCTCCTCTCCTCGGGCAGCGGCAGGTTCGGTCTCTCGGCTGCAGCTTCCCCGCTGACGGGGCCCCACGCCACGGAGCCCGGCCCGGCCGCCGCGCACTCGCCGGGCAGGAGGGACGAGCCGAGCCGAGCCCGCTGCAGACGCACAAAGGCAGCAGCTGCCCCGGGGCTCGGGGCGAGCGAGACGCGTTTGCAGCCGCCGCGCCGGAGGTTCCCGAGGCAGGAGTTCAGCCCTCCGCGGGCCGCCTGCCTCTCCCAGCCGCCCCGGGGCCCCTCCGCCGGCAGCCGAGCCCAGCCCAGGCCCGCACACGCCGCGTCGTGGCGCCGCTCTCCGCGCCCAGCCGCTGCCCGGCCCTGCGCGCCGGCCGCCGGAGCAGCCCCCGGCCGGGGAAGGGGTTTCTCAAACCTGCCCCCGCGGGCCGCCCAGCCCGAGACACCTTCCCCGCTGGGATGCGCCGCCCTCCGGCTCTGCGGGCCCAGCCCCCGCGGGAAGCCGGCCCGGGGCAGCGGCTGCTGGGTGTGTTGGGCTCGAATCTGGCCTGGGGGCAAGTCACGGACAGTCCAGTGGCCCCGGGGAGCCGAACAGCAGGGCTGGCTTTGCTCACGGGGGCACAGGGGCTGCGGAGCCCAGAGCCGCTAGCTGAGAAAGGGGCCGGGGGCACATGTCTAGTGGCGCTGGGCAGGGCTGGGGACCTGCTGCTGGGGGGTTGCTCATTCCCCCAGCACAGCTCTGCTCCGGGGCCTTCTCAGCTGGGTGTGGGGGGGTGCGGACCTGGCAATAAATAAACACCCAAATTCTGACCTGGGTCACTGAGGGCAGAACTGTCAGCACCCTCCTAGCAAAGCCGCCCCGCACTGATTGAGAGCTCCCCCACTTTCTTCAGACCACTCTAAGCACTGGGCCTTCCAGCCCTTCTGACGCCCAGGAGTTGATGCTGAGCTCAGAGCCCTCTGGGGCCCCTGCCTCCCTCTTTCCCGGCGCTCTGGCTAGTGAGCGATGGGGGGCATTGCCCCAGCAGCTCAGCTGGCCTAGCACAGGTCTCAGGGACGGGGAGCGGCACTCGGGAGGGCAGCCCATGGCCTAGTGATGCTGGCGAGGGAGAGGAGCAGGGTTTAATGCAGCAGGGCAGCACTGGGCCACCATCCAAACAAGACATTCTGAGCTGGTCTCCCTCAGTCCTGCTGATGCATAGGGTGAAATCCTGGCCCCATGGGGGAGTGTTGCCATTGATCTCAGTGGAGCCAGAGTGAGGCCGGAGCCATGGGCTGGTATCTCCAGTGCTGCTCACAGTGGTGGATTAGCCACCGGGCCGACAGAATCCAGGGCGGGTGGGGCGGGGGAAGCCCCCAGACCCCAACCCCACTCCCAGGTAGCAGTGCCGGGTGGGCAGGGCAGGACGGGAAGCCCCAGCACCCTCCAACTCCATCCCTGGCAGAAGCCACAAGATGGGGGAAGCCCCAGCCCAGCACCCCCCGACCCCGTCCCCAGCAGAAGCCGCAGGGAGGCAGGAGAAGTGCCCAGCCATTCCCCCTCCCTGTCCCCGGCAGAAGCCATGGGGCCGCAGGGGAAGCCCCCGTGCCCAGGGCCGGCTCCAGGCACCAGCATTCCAAGCAGGTGCTTGGGGCGGCAATCTGCAAGGGGCGGCAGTCCGTGTGTTTTTGCTGCCCCAAGCAGCGCGCCAAATTGCCGCCATGGACGGCGGGGGCAGCCCATGTGCGGTTAGGGTGGCATGTGCATTTCCGCGGCGGCGGCAATTCGGCAGCAGCTTCTACGTTCAGCTGCCCGCAGCGGCAATTCGGCGGCTTCTGTCTTTCGGCTGAAGACGAGCTGCTGCCGAATTGCCGCTGCCGAGGAAATGCACGTGCCGCCCTAACGGCACACGGACTGCCCCCACCATCCGCGGCGGCAATTCGGCGCGCTGCTTGGGGCGGCAAAAACAGTAGAGCCGGCCCTCCCCGTGCCTGACCCCACTTTCCAGCAGAAGTGCTGGACAGGCAGGGCAGGGAAAGCCCTATCTCCCTGACCCTGGTCCCCTGCAGAAGTGCTGGGGGTGGCAGGGGAAGCCCCAGCACCTGGCCCCCCATTGCGGCCCTGGGACTGGAGGAGCTCTCGCTCCCTGCTGCAGCCTCAGGGTGGGGGGGGGAGGGGAGAGCTTCTCTGGTCTTGGGGCCACAGTGGGGTGGGCAAAAGGAGCAAATGGGTTTGGGGGCTGCAGTGGGGGGGGCAGAAGGGGGGGATCCTGGGTGGAACAGGGGCAGTGCATTCAAGGGTGAAATAGCATCTGCTCTTTTAAAGGGGCAATAAAATAGCTGCACTGCTTTGTTGGGAGGAAAACTGTTCTGAGTGCATGACGAGCAAGAAACGTGGTGGTGTATGCGAGAGCAGAGAGTTCAATGAATCGTTTGTTTGCCAGAGACACATTGTACAGCTGGCTGATCGTCTTTAATACGTCTTTACAAGCACACACCGAGAATTATTTATACAAACATATGCAAAGGTATATATACATACACACAGTATCTATCTATTGTGTGAAATTGTTGCTAGTTATACTGATCAGTAAACCTGACAGAGAATAACTTTGTCATGTGCAATAAGAGTTAAACATTACTAACTCCCGTACTGTATATTCTGCTGCTAGATTAGAAGGCAACAACCACAGACTGCAGAGTTGTAGAATCTTTTCCACCAGGTTTTGCAGAACTCTCATTTAAAATGGAAATCTGTTTCCTAACCCTTTGTGTTGCAATGAAACCTGCAAAGCGATGCACAATAGAGCCCTGCTGGAACTTGTCTTCCGCTAACCAGTGTCCTTAGTGGATGTCTGTCCCGCACTCGCCTCCATTCCCAGTAAAAACGGAGCTTTGAGCCCAGGGAAGAGAAGGGGAAAGCTGATGATATTAAGCAGAACAAGTTAATGCAGAACGTTTTGCTGTTCCCACTTCTCAATGAGGCTGGGCCTCTGTTTTCTAAAGCAGCATTTTTCTGTCATGCTACTTGAGCAGAAAAGAGCCTGGGATTCTTCATGCTACATAAATCCTGGCACTGCTTCTTTGTGTCCCTCTCTTCCTCATTACAGCCCTTGCACTTGGTGGCAGGATCCAGCTTCTGGAGGGAGGAGAATGCATAGGAGTAAGGCCCTGTCTCTGGAAGATCCAGTAGGTCTGTAACTATGTAATGATCGTGCATTTCTATAGATAGTTCCTTTCATCCAAATGGACAGCAAACTCATTTGACCAACAAACTACAAATTGTACAGGAATCAGTTTCACCAGCCACTGGATTGAAATACAATAGCTACTTAATGGCTTACATTTACAGTAGGCAACAGGAAGTGAAGATACCATGTCCAACTGACATTGTGGGGGAGGGATAGCTCAGTGGTTTGAGCGTTGGCCTACTAAGCCCAGCATTATGAGTTCAATCCTTGAGGGGGCCATTTGGGGCAAAAATCTGCCTGGGGATTGGTCCTGCTTTGAGCGGGGGGTGGGACTAGATGACTTCCTGAGGTCCCTTCCAACCCTGAGATTCTGTTGTAGGGTGTTCAGAATTGGAATTGGTCGCAAGGGTTAACACTCCCCTTCTTGTGAAAAGTGCAATGGAATTTTATAACGACCATAGTGGCTGGTTCCTTGCTTTGATGCCTCGCCCAAATGACAAAAGTACTAAACCTCGTGACGGAAGAGCTAGCAGGACATTCGATCATTTCAATGGCTGCCTGATAAACAAAGGCCATTTTCCATACTGCTGATCTAGTGGGATTTCAGATATAGAGAGTGTGAGGGTATGTCTACATCCAGCCGCTAGTTCGGCGGCTGGGAATCGAAGTTCTGGGTTCGACTTAGCGCGTCTTGTCTGGACGCGATAAGTCGAACCAGGAAGTGATCGCCGTCGACTGCGGTACTCCAGCTAGACGAGAGGAGTACCGCGGAGTCGACGGGGGAGCCTGCCTGCCGCGTGTGGACCGAGGTAAGTTCGAACTAAGGTACTTCGACTTCAGCTACGTTATTCACGTAGCTGAAGTTGCGTACCTTAGTTCGAATTGGGGGGTAAGTGTAAACCAGGCCTGAGAGTCTCCAACCAGCAATCTAGGGAGAGCAAGCTTCTGTGAGATGCTGAATAAAGTTCCTGCTGGGCTCAGGAATTAAATAAATTAATGGAGATATCCCATCTCCTAGAACTGGAAGGGACCTTGAAAGGTCATTGAGTCCAGGCCCCTGCCTTCACTAGCAGGACCAAGTACCGATTTTGCCCCAGATCCCTAAGTGGCCCCCTCAAGGATTAAACTCACAACCCTGGGTTTAGCAGGCCAATGCTCAAACCACTGAGCTATCCCTCCCCCTCTGAATAGGGAATTTTGTCAGCTGAACCATAAACACCTACTGGCTTCCTATAGGTCAGTTTGTCACTGGCTGTAGCATCTTGACTGGAGGATCATAAAATGATCCTTCCAATCCAAATAAGGTCTAAGCCACCTGGAGAACCAGGAGACTGGCTTGTGGGTGTCAGTCACCTAATAATAATACCCACTTGTTTCATAGCACTGTTCATCAGTGGATCCCCAAGTGCTTTATAAAGGAGGTCAGTGCCATTATTCCCTTTTGTTAGATGAGGAAACTGAGGCACAGACGCATGCTGCTTGGGATAGAAATTGGGCAAACATTATTTTAAAGATCATTTGAGCTTCTGGATTCATATTTCTGCCAGGATCTGACATGTTCTTGTAAGACACACTTTGAACATATGTCGTGTGCCAGTATAAATATTCACTTCGGGCCTGTCTACACTAAGGAATTTACAAAGTGGTCTATTGTAGGTTCAGCTGAGGCTCCATTTTGACCACTTTATTAGTTAAACCTGCTGTAAACAAGTCCAGTTAACTGTGAGGCAGGTTTGGAGGACAGGGACCATCAGACCACCTGGATGATGGGGAGCTGGCTCTGGGAGATGAGAGGGGTCCCATGATGCTGCAGGGGGGATGGGGGATCAGGAGTAGAGAGAGAGGCAGGGGTCCTATTGATGAGGAGCAGGAGGGGGAAGGAATGGGTCCTTTCTGGGGCCTCTAAGCAGAGTTTTCCTCTCTCACACAAATGCCGTTCAAGGTCCATTCCTCTCTGCATCGGGGTGTCCATCTGTGTTGGCCCATAATGACCCCCCCTGCACTCAGCTTACATGGAACAAAGATGTTGTGTTCCTGCCTGCAGACACTGCCTGGGAGCTGAGCGTCAGGCTGGGCTCTTACTGGGAGCTGAGCATTAG